TTTTTATATTATTTTCTAAAATAAATGTAGAGAAATAACAGTAAACAGAAGAGTTACTATTAGCCGTTATAACGATTTATCTACGTGATTTCCCGCTGCGACAGGCTAGTCCCGGTGCGGCGAGGGGCACTCACACATGGTGCGAGGCGGAGTCCTTCTTGAGCTGGATCTTGCGGCAGTGCACGGACCAGAGGCGGTGCTTCTTCTTCTTCTTGCGCGGAGGGGTGCGCTCGGCCTCCACGCCGCACTCCTCTTGGCCCGTCTTTATCCAGTACGTGTACACCTTGGCAGTTCCAGAAATATCATTATTTCACAACAAATTTGCAATTGTAAATTGGGTACGCGGAATGAGCTGACGGGCGCTTAGACCTTTGCAATTTAAAGCTCCGAGTGGCACTGCAACTGTTATGGACAGGCGTATAGCTTTCCATTAGGCGCACGACTTGTTGGTCCCGTCACTAGATATTATAAAAAAACTGTAACTCTACAGTTTTCATAATAATAATAATAATCAGCCCACATTATGTAGTCTCTCACACGCAAGTGAGGGCTTGGGTACTTGGAAACATGACACACGTCATTAAATTGCTTCTTATTATTAATTGGGCTACCACGGTTTACGTATTATATTCTTTTTCACTTCTCATGCTCTTAAAGTTCGTATTTATGCTGGGTGTAGGTGTATGTCTAATTGTTGTAATTTTACATTCAATTTTAATTAAATAATCGTTTGTTTGTAATATTGCTATTTAATTTCCTCGCAATCGAAGTGAAAACCCGTTTTACCTTCGACTTAAGTATCTCTATCTAAGATATACTCATCTCGGATAAAATGACGCGTTGTATGCACTTGTTGTACAATCTACTACTTTACTGTCCATGCTGCAAGCACGTATTAGTTTAATTGACGATTGGTCACGATTGGCACTCATTATCAACTGTTGCTTTTCAATACATAATCTTTACGAGACTTCCACGCTCGGGATTGTGTCAACTCACCCCATATCTAACTACAACTTTAACTACTACAGCCAGCGCCGGTTATTTGTTACGCGTGATAAAGGAGCGGGTCTCGTGAAGACGCTGGAAGGTGGCCGTACCTGCTGGCAAGTCTTGGACAGCATGAGCTGCGCGATGGCGCAGTAGTTGGCGGGGAAGACTTTGTGCAGCGCGCGGAACAGCGATTGGTCGGAGCCCGACCACTCCGCCTCCAGGTCGCCCACAGTCAGCCCTGCACAGTCTCCGTCTCTTCATCATCATATTTCATTCGTTCATATTTAAATCTCCAAATTAATGCAGTACTTTATCAAAACTCTGGTCTGTTATCGTCAATTTCAAAGTTTGTTTGCGCTCTTGTAAATTTCGCAAACGGTAGTTAAAAGATTTTAAAGATTGACATTTTTGAAAATTTTCAGTTTCAATAAAAAAAATTGTTTCATTTTTTTATTATTAATTTGGTTTTTTTTTAACAAAGTTTGATTTAGATTATGTTAAGTCCATGTTAAAAGATGTTAATTGCTACCTACTGTATGTGTAATTCTTATTTATATAAATATAAACGTTGCTATAACCTTGTGTTTGTTTCGTTGAATGTGCTGGTATGTGTAGTAAGTTTCGTCCTAAGTTATTTACGGGCCTTGCTTAAAACTTATGGGCCTTGAGTTCTATCAAGGCACTTGCAAGTCTGTATATTTGAATATTAATAGTTTTTGACAAGTTTTCAATTCAAACTCTATTATTTCCTTACGATACACAGGTTATGAAGGCGTTTCAGGCATGCATTTTAAATTACTGTTATAATATATAAGTTTTGATAATTTTCATTTAGAAACTTGTGTAATATAATATAATTTATTTACAGTCCCTTCGAGACCATGGACGTTGCAATACGTCCGAAACGTCAAAGTAATTAAAATATGTTTTTAAGTCCCGAGTCGTGAAAATCGTGAAAGTTTAAATAAACGTAATTTATTTACATAATAGAGTGTGCTATTACAGAATCTGTCATACACTCAGCTTACTGTAGTCTCACTGAAAGTGCCACGATGCTGATTTTCAGGGCACCCGGTATTATATTCTATGCAATTATTGCAATACATTATTATTTTTCAGTTTGAAATTATTGTAATAATCTGAAAATAAAAAAGCCGCGTGTTTTTTGTTGTCCTGTATTCATTTGCAATTGCTTGGCTAAAGGAATGTCTTGTTATGTGTCAACCCTAAAGGCAACTTGCTGACCAAGAGTATATTGCACACGGCACCAATATTCTAGAAATCATGCAATAGAGTAAACTGCAGACGCAGCGCCTCGTGCCGAGTCCACCAGGCCAACGTGACGCCGCGCACCGGCACTTCGATACACACCTCGGTCGGGTCAATTAGCTCTTAGTGATAATTAATTTGTAATTACATTTATTATTAATTAAATTAGTTTTTAAAATTTTGGTTTTTTTTGAGTCCTCCGGCAGCGGCCTACGTAATTGTCTTCATTTAAATAAATTACGATAGATAGAAGCTCAATCAATGGACGAACCTGAAGATCCTTAAAACAGTTACCAACAAATCTTCAGGTTCAGATCTTTGTTTTTAACACTTCTACGCCGTAGCGCCATCTGTGAGAAATTTATTTCTTCACTCAGTTACCAACAAATTTTGAATAGATAAATGTGCTACGTTACCGAGAGCGTTGTACGGCGCGTCGGCGGCAGACGCCTCGGCGTTCTTGAAACCGTTGCTGCTCCAGTTGCTGTTGCTGGAGTTGCTATTGCTGCCTGCAAAGTAATAACATTCAGAGTAATTTGTTTCTTTATTTCGTTATCATCGGCCCATTTTCAGTTCAGCCAACACAAGTCACCTTTCGTGATTGGAAGACATTTTGCAGTTAACCGCTGATAACCTGGACTGCACCTCCAGACCAAAGGTCAAGCTGAAAGCTGTTAACCCATTTCAAAATGTAAGCAAAGAGCTTGAGGGCGTCAAGGTGAACACAGAACTGGCTCAGATCGCTACTGCACAATTCCGTCAGAAGGGCGTGCTGTAGAGGTGAATCTGCTGCGAGTACACGCTGAACTAGATGGTAGAGGTATACCACAAGATTACAGTGACAATTATCGCTAGCTACGCGTACAATGTTTGTACACAAAATATTATTTTTTTGTTATGTCCCTAGGGGCGCTGTATAGTTTGAGATAAAAAATTGTGAAGTAATTTCTACTTAATAATAGGAAGTGGAAAGACGCTTAGGCGTCGTGAAGTGACAGTGCTTACAGCTCCATCACCGGGGAGGAGAGTTGGTAGTTAGTTTAATTTAGATTCAATGGTGGCAACTGTTACTTCTGCAATGTATAACGAGAAGTGAGCGTGCCAACAGCTTCGGTACCTATCTGGAAAATAGGGAGGTTACACCGGGTCACTCACTCAAGGCACTAGCCTTTTGAGCACCGGATGAAGTCCGTGACAACTGTCTGACAACCCAGTCCACGGGCTGCTCTGGATTCAGGACCTGAACTTTTAAGATCCCTGCGCGGGCTTGCTTGCACAGGTAATAACACTATAACTTCCCGTTTAATCAAAAATTTGATGGAGAGAGGCATATATAATCAGCGGTCGCTAACGACAACTGTCACAGTAAACTTGTGGTAGAAGCAATGGTTGGCCTCTAACGTGGTTAGAGTGATAATATATCCCCTGAAGGGAACCTAAATAAATGCAGACACAATGAGGGATGGTAAGGAGCAGAAACGAATAGGTTTTCGATACCTGTTTCATGAGTTGCGCTATTGTGGGGAGACGTAAAAATATATGGAAATGACATTTTTCAGAAATAACGTTTGGTCGAAATTTCATAACCTCGAAAGTAATTGTGAGAGGAAAATGTTTTTTCTTTTAAACCTAACTTAACCTAACCTAGACCGAACCTAATCGTGTCTTTGCGACAAACATTCAACGTATCCTGAAAGAACAACTGTTTCGTTATAATTCGCTTTTCGGTGTAATGAAAATTCGAACAAAAGTTATTTCAGACAAAAAAGTTTTCGACTTTGTGATAGGTTACCATTTGGAGGTCAGCGTTTCGCAGGCAGGACGAGGCACCCGTCGCGTTGCTCATGAATCTATGTGCTATGTGCAAAATGACGCTGGCCTAAGTCATTATTGGCCGGATGAAATCCATGTACAATCCAAGCTTGTTTCTAAGGGAGAGCTTGCTACGCTTGTTGAGGAGGAGGTGGATGTTAAAGTCTCGTGTCATGTTGAATTGTACTATGTATGAAGTTCAGTATTGTATGTTTCTGTTTCAATTGAATAAGTAAAAAATTATTCCAACCACATCACAGTGGACTCAGGTATTTGACCGTGTTCTTCCAAGGGATTGGGCGGTCGAAGAGCGATATCGGGATGATGTTTAGTACGCTACGACTGGACAGGTTGCTTTGCTTAAAATCGCCGCGCTTCTCGGGATTGACGTCGGTTCTCTATTTGCGGAACCATTCGCCTAGGCGAGTGGTAGCAGGGCCTCGATTCAGAACTCTTCGATATCTTAACCGAATCGTTCGATTGGACATCGTTCTCCAACAACGTTTATGGAGTTAGTCGGCAAATATAGATTATAAGAGAAATGAAATCCTTTTATATACATTTTTAAGACTTTAAGCATTGACTTACAAATAAATGGACGACGGGTCTAATACAAACACCACGAAAAAAATGTCCCAAGTCAACCTATTTAAACTTAGTGACATGTAAAGGAATATGAAAAAGCTAAAACGTTGAATTTAAATTGTAATGTCATCGCAGTACTGTCTAATTTTGCTTGCTTCGCTGTCAGTCGAACAAACGAAGACTAGAGCGTGAATGACGCTCTGTATACGATTTTAACGCCCTATAAGTTCGGACACTTTTTAGCGCGGACCCGACGTCCATATAATTGTAAGTCAATGACTTTAAGGGCCTAAATTATAGGAATGCATTAGTCTCGCATTACAATAAAATAATAAAATTGTACAAAACCCAGAAAAAATTAAAATATTTCCATATTACATTCTTGCTTTGTAAACAATAGGCCGTTCGGTAACTTTCATTCGACAACTGTGTTCTGAATAACGTTTGTATACTTCGTTTCAATCCATTTTGAACAAAAAGTAAACAAACAAGTCACTGACCTGACCATAGACGGTTTAGTGATGGCCAATTGTAACGCCAATTACAAATCGATTAATTAATTGAATTAATCGATTTGTTCAATTGAGTCATACTAGCGGTTTTCCTTACATAACCTAAATAAGCATATTTAAAATTTCAATTTAAATCCTCCTTCAAATCCTTACACTTAAATACTCGTTCGATTGCGATTGAAATGTTCAATTTAAAATCGATAACTAAAGTGTAATTGATTGCACCTAATGTTTTTTTTTTCGAACAGCACTATGCAACCATAGGCAAGTCATAGAAGTATAGAGGAATAATAACCTCACTTTTGGACTACCATTTTTCAAATACGATTTTACGATGCTATTCAAATGAATATTGTTGGGAAAAGTGATGATATATCAAGTCGAAATCTTCGAAATATACGTGAAAGTGTTATTCATTCGATTTATTGAGTGATTGCTTTAGAATTTTAACCAAACAGGTTTGTTTACTTTTTATTCAAAATTGATTGGAACAGACTATAGTCTTTGCCAGTCGAGAAGTACGAGTAATTGTACGGGATTCGTGACGTCATTTCGGTTCGGTTTCGAATACGATAGTTTGACGTTCGATTCGGTTATTGTGAATAAAAATGAAAAGAAATCGTACGATATCTAACAGAATCGGTCGACAACAGAGTTAGATAGATAGATAGATAGATAAAAGCTTTATTCACCACCATGACATACATACATGATATAGGCATTAACTTATATATAACAATAATGATATTCTTATCTACTAATATTACACTTGGAAGTCATGGCAGTGAAAAAGGCGCTGGCTCAGCATAAATGACGCGGCTGCCCGCGACGCTGGTATTCTGCCAGGACCCTATAGGATAGAGACGCCACTCGCAATCCAACAAAAATCTGATTTCATTTTTAAATTATTAATTTTCAATCTTCTTCCTCCCAACCTCCACACATAATACACTATTTGCAGTCCTGAAACGAGGTACAGCCAAGAGCATAACAAGCCCGGCACCTTGGACCTTGGACCGTTCCTATCGCAAGCGGCACAGAGTTGAAATTAAATCTTAAATGTCAAGCACGACGCGCTCCCGACCCTGTACGTGGACAAACAAGAGACAACCGCAAATACCCTAGCCACTCATATCCCCAATTTTTGCAAATTTAACAGATGCTCCCGCAGCTTTAGCCTTAACCCTTTTTTTTTTCGAGATATCGTAAGGTTGACTGAATGGTGACTGACTGACTGGTGAATCGACATGCAGATTTTATAACCGCGGCAACTAGGCAACTGGCTTGGGGCTGTGCATCGAAAGAGGTCAACGTTTTCTGACTGATGTTTAGGTCGCTGGTATACGAGGAGAATAGAAGAGGCAAGAAAACAGAGCCTCGCAAAACTCCGGCTCTTGTGGGGTGAATAGAGGAGAGTGCGCCATCGATTCAATAGCGAAAAGAGCGATTCGACAAGCAGTCTCGAATTACGTGTCTATCAGCAACACCAAGATTTTACAGCTTGCACAGTAAGCCGTTGCGCCAAATTGTCAAAGGCCTTCGCCATATCGGAGAAGTGTCTTAAGCCATTGAACGAAAAATAGTTTATTTGAACCATCACAAACTAGAAAATTCTTATTACATATATTAATAAGTACTAGTTGTATAAGCTACTTATAGTTTGTAAGGAAACTGGAATCTAAACTATTAGTATTAATAATTATAAAATTTTATGCCTCAAAACGTAATTTTTTTAGCTACTGCTCAATCAAGACTCACGTCGCCTTTTTATGTATCTTTATCTAACACGTAGTCTTCAATATTATAATACGACGTTTCAATTAAAATACTTTGAAAAGTTTTAAACTTAGGAAATGATAATTTTTATATATACGCTCAGGAATCTTATTGTAAACACTTATACAGTTCCCCACAAAGAATCGTTTACTCATGCTTTTGGACTTAGTAAGAACGCGCATCGCACATGCCGCGGTAACGCGCGCGGCCGCACCTTTGTGGAAGCGGTTGCTGTCGTTGCTGTCCTCGGAGGAGGCGTCGTTGGGCGAGTCCACGTGGTGCAGCCCCTTGGCCTTGTCCTCCTCGCCCGGCGACTTCTCGCGCGCCAGCTTCTCGCGCATGCCCTCCTGCGGACGACAGACGACGCGTCAGCTTAGTGCCCAACCAACACCCTTGGGAATTCAACCCTGACCGGGGGACTGGTAAAGATCCTAACCTAACAACTCAAAATTCAATTCTTACTCAAAAATGTAATCTAATAGTCACAGTACATAATTTCGGCCCCTCCTACGTAAAGTATCGTATGTCGAAATTGCCAAGTTTACAGGGGAGCGTTTTAAAGTTCTGAATTCACTGAAAGAGTGATCACCATAGATCATCTAACCGATATCTAGGATTTTATAATACTCTATGTGAGTAATGAGCTTTGCCGAATAAAACTGAGAAATGCTAAAGTCACGTGTTATGTTCGTTTCAGTGAATTCAGAACTTTAAAACGCTTCCCTGTAAATTTGGCAATTTCGACATACGATACTTTACGTCTGAGGGGTCGATTTTATATAACACTGAAATCCACCCAAAAATGTACTGGCCTGAACCCAATGGCCCTTATAAGCCTCTTCTTAATCTTTATAAGATCTTTACTATACTGGGGGTCTATTCTCGTTCCCGCCCGACAGCCGTCCGAAACAATGCCTGACAAATAAGTAATACTCGAGCAAATCAAAAAGCAATGTTACGTGTGAAGCTTCATTCGCATCACGTATTTTTTCATTTGGTCGAGTATTACGTATTTGACAGTAATTGCTTCAAACGGACCGACAGGACGTTGAACGAGAGTGCCTGTTCTTTGTTGTCATGTAACTTTTTTTTGTGTAATATAGAGTTCTTAGGTTTTCGCTATTGTTACGCATAGGAAACGAAACTATTTTTTCGGATGTGAATCGTTAGCCGTGACCATGGGACCTGGGGCTTTACTCTCGAAGCACGAAATCCGTAGTTCGTTCGTGCCAGTTCGAAACTGTCAAACGACCAATGCTTCTACCATGAGATTACAGGCGCTAGCGAGCGCGTAATTTATTTCACACTTTTGTCACAAGGAAAGTAACTTTTTGCAAACAAATATTTTACGTAGTCGCTAGCTACAACTGTCACTAATAAAGTGATAACTGATACACAGTTAGAAATTGTCAAATCACGTTGTCATACATTCTCTTAAGTTCTAGCCCCGATCGACATTCAACTCCGTAGATCATCTATAGTGAGAAAACGGCTGTAACTATGAGATAAGGGCCCCTATAAATTGTGTTTTAATTGATTCCAATTATCATTATTACTTAATAAGAATGAAATGAAATTAAAAAAAAATAGGGTGGTTTTCATTAATATTACAATGATTTTACCATCTCAGTCAACCGTGACCATGGGACCTGTAAAGGGTCTAAAACATTAATTTGTTTGAAAAAAAAAAAAACAAATGCACGCGATTCAGATCCGAAAAAATAGAAGAAAAAATAGTATTTCCTATTTGTAACATATTTGTTTCCTTCATTCGGGTGACCCGAAGGCAAGTTTCACCGTACACATACAGTGGAACCATTCGTCATTCCGCTTTCGAACGATACAACTAGAATATATTAACGTGAAAGGGAATGAGCACCTTCTAGGAAAGCTTCACTTGAGTTTCCAACACGTGAGATCATACTGTATACTTTATTGTTTTCTATGATAATGAGGTGTGAAATGTGTAATGTTAAATCGACATCTTAATAGGCAGATAACTTACCAGCAACATATAGCAGTTAGGCCCACAAGGTTCCGAGAAGGGCTTGAGATCGGGCCCCTTCCGCTTGGAGAGGTTGGGCCGCGGATGGCACGCCTGCAGTCCTGTCACCCCACCAAATAATGAAGCGCGTGATACATACGATACGATCGGAAAGTGCGTGGACAGCTTTAAGAATGTGATTGAAAGTAATACAGTGCCATAAACTCGAGTTTTGTAATTTAAGAATTGATATAAAAATCGGATAAAGTTCGCTACTCGCGTCTTGTATGCTGGTCGAATGGATGGAAAGGTATAAACATTATATTATTTATATTTTTCGCATAACTTGTTCCTCGTTTGTAGATCATAATTATGTACGATGCATTATTATTATGTAACTTTATTGTTTTCGTTTGTCCGTCCAAGCGAGTGGTTGCGTAATTACATAATTAGTGGTCAAACCGATGTGACACAATGGACAAAAACAGGGCATTTCATTTTACAGTTGAGTTGATGACACTCTAAATTCAGTATTTGAAAGTTTAGTACAATACTACGAGTTGTTAAAGTTCAATGAGCAATGACACTAAAGTGTTGTTTATGGCTGTCTTGATGGATCTGACATGGAGATCTGAAACGTTAGTTTTTGTGTACGCGGTGGAAGTAAAAAGCCAATGGTACCGAAGTTTAAAAAGTAATTACAGTTAAATGTTTCCCATTTTGAATACTAAATGTTTGACAAGTGCAGATGAGTTGTGATCATGAGACTTGAACCTGATCTTAATATTTTTTTTAAATAATACAAAATATTTATGTATGACAGTAAAATAAATACAATTCTAATATGAACAATGATTAAAAAATAAAAAATGTATTGTTAAAACTATGTGCAAAACGTATGTAACTACGATGAAATTAAAACACACGGACCAAGTGTAGCCATGATATGCAGAACAGCGTATCGATGCTATAAATTGGATGGTGTGGAAAAAGATTTATAAATATATATATGTATAATATATGATGTAAAAATATACGAATGATGTAGGCGGGCGAGTGATAGCCTTACCTGCCGTCTGACATCCTGTCAGCCAAACAGAAAGACACTAGTCAGCCTTAGAGAATAAGACTATTGTATACGAATATCACTACTTGGCAGTTCATTCATTGGTCGATATGTTGGCCCGCAGAAAGTTGCTTGGGAATGAAGAGCAGAGCAGCATATCATATTCTTTAAAATACTAAGGTAGAGTAATTATATTTATTTTTCTACTTTTTTCGGGTGTATTTTCAGATTCCTGATCTGTTATCGGATTATGTCCGATTTGATGTTGAAGTTTTTTAGTATATATGTCCAAAATTAAGCCGATATCCGGCTTGGATATACCGTCAGTGTTTTGTAGAAAGGGCGTGAGCGACATTTAAAAAAATGAAGAGGAAGATGTTTTAGGTTTTCAAGACTGTTTAAAACTTTTAAAATTCAATTTTAAAACTGAAACTTAATTAAAACAAAGTTCTGCAACAAGCACAGTTAATAAAAATCGTAAGGTCCGCTGGTTTGTTCCGTGGCTTACTTAGCATGGCGTCTGCCACGGCCTAGAACATGTTGCTTCGAATACTACTACTATTAATAAATTGTACCAAAGTAGTGGAGCAATTTTAGAAAAAATAATTGAATATCATTGCGATTCAATTCTGACATTCAATAAACTTAAATTAGGATGTAAATATTTGAAAACGGTTAAACCCTAAAACATGCTCCCTGAAAAATTTTTTGAGACGTCGCTTCCGCCCTTTCTACGAAACATGCACGATATATTGCAACTCCGAACGGGCAATAGTCGAATGACGAGTGTACCCACTCACACTTTTGTCATTATAGCCGATAGGCCAACATGTCGTTCAACGAACGGTGCGCTTTAATTTACAGTATCAACTTCATAATATAAATCGACTACCGCGTCGTGCTCGCGAGTAACGCTACTTAGACAATATTACATACATTACATAAATATTACGAGTACATAATTGCCATAGCTACTTGTTCAATATCAACGTATAATAGAGCGACGCGCCAAAGAAAGGAGGACGTACGGTGCAGGAAGCAGTCGTACTTGAAGCAGCGGCGGCAGAAGAGCGTGTGGAAGGAGTGCATGGTCTGGTCGCGCGACACGGACTCGGCCAGCGGCCCGTCGATGTTGGGCGTGCACTCGGGCGGCAGCGCCAGCGGGTCGGCGCGCGACGTCAGCTCGATGTACCTGCCCACCGTTCGACTCCAGTAGACGCCTCCCACACTCGTCGGCAAAACTCGTGGAATCCAATCCAGGACACGCTAATCAGATCTATTATAATCCGGCCCCGAGTTGTTTTCAGGTACATTCTAATTATTCATTATAAACGAAACTTTGTTTACACAAAAAAGAGTTGTCTGTGTACGGTTGAAGAAATATTATTGCACTGAATGCAGTAATAAAACCATTAACACTTCTTTTACTCAAAGCGTACATGGTCTTAATGATCTTGGTCTATAGTACGGGTCAAAACCACATAACCTTTATTTCATAGGTGAGGAAATTACACTTGAAATCGTCATACTGATTAAACTACTGCTAAAGAATGAGCAAGAAACTCTAGGGGTTGCTCTTTGTAAATATACATTTATCATTACAACATTCAATTTAAACATCTTAGATCGAGACTACCTGCAAGAGCTAAACGGATGACTACCACGAATTTTTGGTATCCAAGTACGCAGAAGCTGTGTAATAAGCTTTAGTATAGTTTTAGTTTCACTATAGTTTTAAATGTCAAATTTTGCTCATCAACCGGAATCTTATTATAGAAGCGTACACATTGCCCCTTAAATAAATTTGAGACTTTATGAAGACGACTGTCAAGTAAAGCTAGCTTATTTTTACTCCTCATATTAATGTTACGTCTGTCAATATTTTCTATAAAAATATAATATTTTTCTTAACAGCGAGGGCTATGTAGTTAGCATACTTTTGACATGCCTCTTTTTTACTTTCATTGAATTCATTTTATTATTTTTTTTTGTTTTGTTTCAAATTTATACATGTCAAATAAAGCCTATTTTATTTTTATTTAAATAAATTTTCGTAAATGTACAGTGACGTCAGTGTAAGAATGTTTATCTCTTTAAACTTATCTAAGTCTGAATTCTAGTTTTGAATAATTTCTGTACTCTTCAATCAGTTTTGTTTTAACCTGTAACTACTTCATAAAATACCGACTACGGACTCTTTTCTTACTAATTCAACAAAGTTAGTTCCGCATCAAGATCGTCATGTTCAGAACTAAGTGCCAAAGCGTAAAAGTGTTTAAACTAGTTGTTTGCACTGTACAGGCACGTGCGTTGCTGCGACGGCTCACTCTTTTGTCCTATTGTATTCTAAATATAAAACGATAAGATAGATTTCGCCTACTATAACATGTGGTCCATTTAACGATAACTGCTACCAAATCATAAATTTTACTCTTTCTGTGCAGGTTTTGTTAAATTTAACGTCAAGTGACGGGACGAACAAGTCGTGTGTCTGATGTTAAGCTACACGCCTGTCCATAACAGTTGCAGTGCCACTCAGAGCTTTAAATCGCAAAGATCTGGCATTGCAGTGGCAGTTATTTTGTAGCAGACATAAAACGCCAAGTCCCATGTGCCTGTAATCTCACCAGCACCGTTACCCTTCAAAGTTGGAACACAGTAATACTGATATTACTACTTGGCGGCAGAAATAGGTAACGTGGCAGTACTTCCCTGGACGAACTCTTTCGATCTAGTCCTCATGCTGATCAGGTCATTTTGAAGCCATTATAATACCGACCGGTTTTTTTCTGCACAAAGAGTAACAGATCATACTTCTCCCGTAATTCCTGCGCAGTGCCCTTATCGGGAAACTGCGAGCTGATGGCCTGGAAGATGGTGAAAATGGGAAACTGCTTCTCATGCAACGGTTTCTTCTCTCCATCTTTATTCTCCAGTGCTTCTTTATCCTTTTCTTCTTTCTCCTTTTTTGGTTCCTTCTAGAAATAGTAATGATATGTATGTGACTGATATGAATGTCATACGGTGATTGGAGCAACAAGCCAATGCGATCAAAAAGCCAACCACACACATGGTGGCAACGTGACACTATCTTAGATAGATAGATAAACACTTTATTGGTCCTACAAAAACAAAAACTGAACATAAACAATTAAGAACTAATGTTAGTGGTTCTTACAGGAAGCAGATTTTTCTACCATCCCAATCGGAGGCAGTATTCGCCTTCCTACTGACCTCAGCTATATGTGGCGATCAAGACAGGGTGGAGAATGCCAAGGTTCTTGATCTTACTATTGTATGCATATAATAATAACGCACACACTCAACATAGCCCCACACTAGGGAAACCCTGTGTCGCGGGTGCCATGGACACACACATAGACAACCACAAATTACACCCAAACTCACGAGAGAAATAAATGTAGGCCATACAAATATTTCTCCCGGCCCGGGAATCGAACCCGGGGACCTCTGCGTGGCAGTCCGGTATGGTAACCGTTCGGCCACGGAGGCAGTTAATTGTATGCATATATTGTAAGTATCCATTATTGTAAATGAATGAAAAACCAAAACTGCTTTATTATTTAATGTTTGTTGATTCAATCACGTCAACCAAGTTTATCAATCCCATTATTATTGAATATCAAAAGGGTTTTTGAATATCAAAAAGCCTGGAGCTCTTTTTCTTCTATTCTTAATAGATGCTCCATCCTCATCGACTTGTTTTGCATGCACAACATTTATAATAATAAATTAACTGCCTCCGTGACGGAACGGTTACTATGCTAGACTGCCACGCTGAGGTCGCAGGTTCGATTTCCGAGCCGAGAGAAATATTTGTATGGCGTACATTTATTTCTCTTGTGAGTCTGGGTGTACTTTGTGGTTGTCTATCTATGTGTGTCCATGACAGCACCCGCGATACAGGGTTTCCCTAGTGTGGGCTATGAGTGTGTGCGATTGCAGTTAATTTCTTTATTCACCAGAAATTTATTAAAGCAAGTAATAGTTGTACAAAATAATTGTTGAACTCTTATTGTTTTATTATTAAGATTTACTTTATGATTGTTATAAGATAATCTCATTACAGAGTACCAAAAAATCGACCTCAAAAATCATTCATCCTCTAGTCTGCCACCCTTAGCGGTGGAATATTTTCTTGAAATTTAAATGGGACTACTACTGAGGTACTCTCTTTCTAACAAAAAAAGAATCACCAAAATCGGTTGACAAATACCGGAGTTATCGCGTAACATACATACAAAAAAAAGAAAAACATGCAGACGAATTGAGAATATCCTTCTTTTTAAAGTCGGTTAAAAATTAGTTCAAATAAATATTTTTTCTTCTTAATTGACGCACATGTTTATCAGCTACATTACTTATGGCGTAACAATTTGAAGAGGTTACAGTTTTTTATATGAGACAAGTTCTAAGTGACAATTACGTTATTTGGCATTAAAATCTTCTACATGTTACCTTTTTTTTTAATGATACTAATTAAGGGTATGAAACCAGTCGTGCGCCTGGTGGTAAGGGACACACCTGCCCGTAACAGTTGCAGTCCCGCTCGGAGTATTAAATCGCATAGATCTGAGGGGCATTGTCACTGCGCCCGAGACATAAGTTGACAAGTCCATGTGCCTGCAATTTCACCAGCAGCACCCCTACCCTTCAAAACCAGAACATAATAACGCGCACTTGGTGGTAGAAATATGTAAAGTGGCAATTCCCTTAACTGCCTCCGTGGCCGAACGGTTACCATGCCGGACTGCCACGCAGAGGTCCTAGGTTCGAGTCCCGGGCCGGGAGAAATATTTGTATGGCCTACATTTATTTCTCTCGTGAGTTTGGGTGTAATTTGTGTTTGTCTATGTATGTGTCCATGGCATCCGCGACACAGGGTTTCCCTAGTGCAGGGCTATGTTAGTGTGTGCGTTATTATTATTAACTCTTCCACAAAGAGCTCTATCTACAAAAATTGTTCATTCTTCTTGTACTGTCTACAATTATAAGTGTGTTAAGATTTGATTTTTTCTAACAGTAGCAATGTGAAAGCTGGCTTAACTATACAGGGTGATAGGTTGAACGAGATAAATATTTAAATAGGTGAATGAGTAGCTGATACCTATACCGAATATGTAAAAAAATCACTACCTTATTTTTAAATATTTTTGTCAAAGGAAAATATTGCCTCTAATATTTTATTGTTATTATGTTAGCGGAGGTTGAGGTTGATAGTTTCTCAGCTATCATCCGAAAGAGCATCGCTTCTCTAATCTATCGTGTGCGTGGCAGCCCCAACAGCCTCCTGCAGACGGTCGCGGCGAGATTGGACGTGGACAGTGCGATTATGCGACACTGGACCAGCGTCCATCTCGCCAAAGACGTTAGGTTAAGTTACAATAATAATATTTTTATAAGGCACTAACATAGGATTAAGCAAATTGTTACTAACACTTATATGGATGCAAGTCCGAAATAAATGATTTTTATTTATTTATTTATTTATAATACTCTGCCACTACCAACGGCCACCCGCTACCCGGTTAGTTCGCTTACGCTCTTGTGTTAGACGGGACTTCACGTCGTCGCGTATTGGTTTCGCGTGGTATATCTGTGTATTCACCTGTGTTCAGTTCAGTGGAGTGCACTGACGTTCAAAACGATGCCTTATTAGTATTAGCACACGGTGCGATGTTTACGTTATGGTATGTTGTGCAAAAGATGTTATTAGTCGTGTTAAGGTCCTGTACCGAGAAACGTTCTTTAATCTTTAATTAAAATATAAAAAAAAGTGCTCCATATTACACATTGATGTTAGGCATTGACTTACAATTATATGGACGACGGATCTAATACAAAAACCACGAAAAAAATGTCCCAAGTCAACCTATTCGAAATTTAAATTGTAATGTCATCGCAGTATCGCGCTGTCAGTCGAACAAATGAAGACTTAAGCGGAGTTTGGCGCTCTGTATACGATTTTAGCGCCTTACAAGTGCGGACACTTTTTAGCGTGGACCCGACGTCCATTTATTTGTAAGTCAATGATGTTAGGGCTCCATTTTGTTTGTCCTATGCAAAGAGAAGATTAAATTGTTTTAATAGGAATACTGTACTCCTTAAGTAGGAAGGCTTGACACGCGGGAGTTCAATTTCCTACCACTCAGCTGGGGGCCTACCACAACCTTTTAAAACAATATTACTTTAACCTTACATTGACTTTTCGTACCATAACGCGCTTAAAGTAAGCTTACTGTAATGTTAAAACTATGATGTTTCATTTGGCAGCTTTGTGGTCATTCATTCACTCAGTTGTACTATGACGCGACTTTAACATTAAAGTAATATTGCTCTTATGTCAAATTTAGCAACCTTAAAATAGTTACACGGATGCAATGCAAACAATATTATTTTCAGTTTTATAGTCTTAATATTGATTTGTACTGATTAAAAGTTAAGTTGAACTTATTTATTTACATATATCTCTTCAATATTTTGTTTATTTTTTTTATTTAATAGCACATAGTAAATAATTTTTCGTTAAATAAAAATACGCGATGTTTATTTCGTAAAATTATAACAGCGCCATCTGTATGCTCCTTGGTGAAACTATACTATAGTTCCGACTTCACAACGTGACTATCAAGACTCAGCCTGTTTTATTTATTTTTCTTCATAAAAACGTTGAATTGTTGAAAACAACGTAATTTTAATAGATTTTATTATTACATACTTTTCTTTTCTTAGGAGTCAAAATTCTCTGAACATTAAGTACTTAAACATTATACTACGATAAGACGATTCGAAACATAAAAAAAGAAAGAGATGGCATTATATAGTTCACATAACGTTATCTTTTTCCTATTTATAGTAAGGAATAGACAATATTGGGAAATCATTCGTTCTTTCAATCACTTTTGCAATAATACATTACTTGGCTGACAGGTTCGATATGGTACGATTATGAGTAATATTACAATAAGCTTACTTTAAACTTACATTGAAATAAGATTGTTTTAGGAAAGGTTATGCTAGGCCCCCTGTTCCGTGTCATAGAGTAGCCCAAATGAAGAGTGTGTTAGTATGTATAAAATGGCACATTTTTTTTTTGTTTAGCGGCGATTCTTTTTACATATTCGGATTAGATATCAGCTACTTGTTTGCCTCTTTAAATATTTATCTCGTTCAACCTGCCTCCGCCCTTTATACTTATCATGGAACTTACATCCTTATCCTTCTCTTCCTTGGACAGTCTGGCCTCTCTCGTGCGGCGCTCGTCCTCCACCTCCTCCTTGGTCTGGTAGCTCATGAGCGCGTGCACGAGATCCACGAACAGCTGGTCATCTATGAACCCGCCTTCTTTATCGCCTTAAAGAATTTCAAAGAAATATACAGTTAATTATCCACTTTTTATTAAAAGTCTAAAATCATTACAGGCTAAAACTTAGTTTTAACCCAACTAAGTACAAATTGATGCAACTACAAATTTACTTCAACCATGGTATGGCGATGTCACTGGTTTATGTCTAACCAGATCGAAGGAATTTTTCCTTGTGTTTCTATCTTTGTATTAATAAATTATAACAAACTAGTGGAGTAATTTTACAAAAATAATTGAATATGATCGTAGTAAGTAATCCTGATATTCTATAAACTTAATTTTAACTTACATGTTAAAAAAAATTCCAATACAAAGGACAATCCTAAAAGAACCCAAGCAAAGTTAATTTATTAGTGACAAAACTCTATTGAACTCTCTGTAATATAAATGAATTAATTCATAATATGTATTGGAAACTTAAACTAAGTGAGACTGTAAATTTTGATGTAAACCAGATAGGATGTTGCCCTCTAATGTTTCCCATTAAGCCAGTCAGAAAAAGCATTATGTCCATGTAATAAGGGCGAAAAAGATATTGTGCATTATCAGTCGGCAGTCCAAGCTGAAGCGAAACATGCAATGTCATTTTTGCTTTATTGCATAAAGCTTTTTCTTTTCTTTTTTTTATAATATCAAGGGACGGGACAAACAAGTCCTGCACCTGATGGTAAGCTGCTGTACGCCATAACAGTTGCAAGGCCACTCAGAACTTTAAATTGCAAAGCTCTGAGGGGTACTACCACTGCGCTCGTCACCCTGAGACGTAAGTTGACAAGTATCATGTGCCTGTAATTTCACCAGCACTCTTACCCTTCAAAACCAGAAAATAGTAATACTGACATTATCTGCTTGGCGGCAGAAATAGGTAACGTGGCCGTACTTCTCTGGATGAACTCTTTCACAAGGAGCTCTACTGCTACTAGAATTTTCTGACCATCTCAAGATGATTCTTCATTAATGGGTGAAGTGAATGCCTAATATGAAACTCAGTCAACTCAGTCACTCCTGGGCGCATACATTACACAGCCAGCAGAGGTAAAAACAATCATACAGAAGCACTTTCCACTTCTGTAATTCAGTTAACAACTTTATTTTGGTTGTTGTCGAAACTGACGACCCCTGGAGTTCAGTGGCTTGGGACTTAATAAAAGAGTTGGGTCACTGACTCAGAGATAAGGGCTGCAATCGCTACTTTTCATTGTGGTAGGTTCAGCAGGTGTACATTACCATCCACGGTGGCAACACTGCCAGAATAATGGGAACTTATGGGCCAGGCATGTACAGGCTGGGATATTTCAAGTTACGAATTTTAGACCAAATCTCATGTAAATTCCAGTTTTTATGTTACAGTATTGATGAAGCCAATAAAGCCAAAGTACCAGTTGACCTTAGCTATGAATTGTAATTAGTGGTGATTACAATAGATCTTAATAATAATGCAATAAATGTAAACTCTGAACTTACCATGCACTTTCCCATCATAGTTTTTAATGAGCTCCTCAATAAAAGTCCCATCCTGGTCCAGCACCTCGTCACCCATGTATGGAATGTTATGCAGCACCGTTTCGTCTTCCACCATAAAGTTCTTCTGTGTTGGTGCCCATGTGTACATAGTCGGTATAGGGTTTACTGAGTTGATTATGCGGATTGGTACTTGCTGTGTAGTCACTACACCCGATGCTGGAAATGTTATTGTATTACTTTAGCACACAAATAAACAATATGGAAGAGCAAGTTGCTTAAGGACTTCTGCAATTGGGATTTATTATATACTATCAATAAAAGTTATCGTAACAAGAGGAAAGTAAAGGGTCTTTTTACCGACTTGAAAGAAAGGAGGAGGTTCTCAATTCGTCTATATGTTTTTTGTGTGTATGTTACGTGTTTACTCTGGCATTTATGAACCGATTTTGATGATTCTTTTTTGTTGGAAAGAGGGTACCTCAGTATTCGTGCCATTTCAATTTGAAGAAAATATTCCACCTCCAAGGGTGGTTTAAGTTCCAGTAACCGATTGCAATAAAACTTGACAAATAGATGAATTACACGAACTTTTGAGGTTGGTTTTTCATATAAAAAACTTACATTTATTTAAAACAAATACAGCAAAGGCCAGCTCAAGCACACAAAAAGACTCTATAAAGACATCTCTAACATTAACCCATTGACTGCCGAAGGTAGTCTTGGAACTGAAATTGGTGGCCACCATACTAACGGTCCTCTACGTAATAATATGTAGCCGGCACAAAAAAATTAAATCCTACTGACGATGCCGATGTAAGTAACATTACGGACACGTAATATTGCGTACTTCGGCAGTGTGTATAAAACTTGTTTTAAGAGGCCGACCTTCCGTCCGACCGGCGTTTACGCAAAATAACGTACGGACGGCACCTCAAGTAACAAAATCTAATTAGCTGTCGTGCTTACGTCTCCCGCGCTCCCCAACTTTTGCCAATTGTCAGTGCTGCGTCATGTGTGCAGTGAGATTAATGTAATTGATGTGATTTATCGCAATGCCGCGCGGACAGGAATCAAATCGCACTTCTATACCGTTACAACTGCTAAATCAAAACAAAGTTGCCAGGTTTCCATATGAAGTAGATTCGTCAAGACGATGAGGACTGAACAGATGTTACTCGAAACTTCACGTCTTCCCCATGTATCGCCAGCAGCTTGTGCTAGACGAATGGAACCTAACCCCCTGACTACTCGTATCCCACTAAAAACTTTACAGTATTTATAAAATACCACCTACGGCTATAAAGGCAGTTCCAGCTAAATCTTGCCATGTTTGCACCAAAAATAAGTCACAAAAGGAGTCAACTTTTGTGTGTGCTATGTGCCCAGAGAAGCCTGGCTTATGCATGGTGAATTGTTTCAAAATTTATCACACTGATTGCCGTTTTGCATAATTTTTGGCAGAAGAAGTTATTGATTCTTATTTTTTACTAGTTATTAGTGTTGATTGTTACAAAAGTTAACGTTTTAACCAATTAATTAACTGCAAAAGATCTCATTACTACACTAAGTAAATATTTGTCGAAAAGTGCCTTTGATTTATGCAATTTTTAAGTATTTAGAAATAATAAACCTACTACATTTTTATTTCGTGTTTTACTTCAGGCGCCAAAGTATACTAAAACACACAGTCCTGTAGGCCAAATATAATAGATTTCTTTTAATTTGTTAGGGAAGTGGTACATATTATTGCGTGGTCGGCCTCTGCTATGGATGTTAGCTACGTATTAATACATAGCCGGCAATCAATTAAGGGTTAATTAATGAAAGAAATTATTATTTTATAGGAATTGTACATAATATCACCAAAGCATACTTTTCATTTATTTAGGGACTTTAATTGTTACTGAACATGTCAGCCCTGTTAGAAAAACAATACCTCAAGAAAACATTTTAATAAAATCCAGACAGATAAATCAAAATACTACCTAACCAGACATGTATACGAAATCTCCACAGCGCTACATGTTGGCTCCAACAAAACAGACTGAAACCACTCAACATGTTAAGCTATTTAAAGGTGTGCTCACATTAAATAAAATTCTAATATCTCACCGTCAGTATAGGTAACTTCAGCGCGCTTCATGAGGGTCTCGTGACTAGAACTGGGGGCAGGAGGAGGCCAAAATGGCTTTCGCCCCCCATCAGACATCTCTACGTCTCTGGACTCAATTGCCTCCGACATTATCCGCAAATTTCGAGCCCATGCCACTTTCACCTCATCCGCACGTTTGAAACGCTAAATTAACATAAAAATACCTATAAAATATGCCTATAATATTTAAAAAACTGAAAGGAAGCATTTTAGTTGATACGTTTCCTACCTTGACTTGCCGAAGTCTCATGTATTCCGTCTTTACTCGCTTCTTCCATTCCGCAGACACTTTAGATTTACTCATTTTGTAACAATATTTACGTAATTATCGTGACTGTTTACTGAATATTATTTTTTGTTAGGGAAAATGCAACAATGGACGCGAAACATCGCGCGGCGCGAGCCGGTCGGTCATTCACTTTTGTCACTGTTATGTCAACTGTCAAAATTTCATCCATAGACTAACATTTACCCTAAACAAAGATTGCAGACCGCCTCTCAATGTGTTGCCACCCTTTGTGGTTGTTGTGGCTTTATCACCGTCTTCTATAAGTTTATGGACGACATAGATTAGTTGCTCTGTATTTCCGTATTGTTTATGAACTTGTGTGAGCTAAATGTGTTCGCTGCCATTTTCTGATAAGTAAATTTTGAGAGGAAAAAGCTTTATTACAAAAAGGTGAGCATGATTAGACAGGTATACTTTGTGTTGTATCATACTATTTCATATGCTTTTTTCGTTACGCAAATCATATAGAATTATTTTCCGCGAACTCAACATCGGGTTACGTAATTTTGTTGTTCATCGTCACAAAAATTTACGAAACATCAATATAGCGATGCGCGAAGACGTTTCTCAACTGAAGAACGCAGAGTTGTTGTCTACACCGAAAAGTTGTTTTGTTTGTAGGTGTGTGCGTACCTACAAACTGCCGCAGGTTATGCGAAAGTATGTCCTCGTATCGCTCCTCGAGCGGCGCGTGGGATGGCGGGCCGCCGGGCGCCGAGGCGGAGTACGCCGCGCACCAGCCGCCGCCGCCCTCGGCTGCGCCTGCTGCCGCCTTCCCGCCGCAGCCGCGAGCCATGCCCACCACTGACCCCTGGACCGGTGTCAGCTACACGCACTACGGCGCTCCGCCTAATTATGACTACCAGGCATACCAGACGTCTGGCTACAACTACAATTATGACTCCACTTACTACCAGAGATCCGAAGGGGGCTATTACAACAAGTACCCTGACTCCCGGCCTGGTAACCTTCCAGCTGGGGCACCGTGTTATGATTACACATCGGGATCTCGGGAACGCTCCGGTTCCCCTGGTGGTTCGCGGTCCTATGAACGCCGTCGTAGGTCCGACTCGAGAAGTGTGTCCCCTTATGATAAACGAGAGCGAACACTTTCCCGTAAAAGGGACAGCAGCTATGAGGGTAGTAGAAGAAGCGAGTCGAGGAGCAGGTCTGTGAAATCTAAACGCACTAAGTATTCATCAAGTGATCATTCCAGCTCCCGGTCTAGGTCACACTCTCGGACCAAGAGGCCTAAAAAAAGGATGTCGGCGTCGTCTCACTCTTCTGGCTCTGACAGATCCTACGAAAATGCAACTAGAGGTAAAACACGGAAGCATTCACTGACTCCTCCTTTTAAAAGAAATTCTAGATCTCAACAACAATTTAAGTCTCAAAGAACTCCAAGTCCAAAGAGATCTCGCAGTAGATCATCTAATGATGAATTAAGAAACAAAGATGCTAAATCTCATTCCAGTAGTAAAGATAAATATAGAAGGGACAGGGAGGTGGCAACACCACCTCCCAAAACAGCATCTAAAACACCACCACATAAGATGTCTGATAGATCCTCAGTGACACCACCGAAAAGTTATCAAAAGCATGACCATTCTGCTACTCCACCTAAAAACTACAGGGGAAAAAGAAATGTAAAGGATAGGTCGTTGACCCCTCCCAAAAGCTATGCGAGAAGTCATTCGTCATCAAGTTCCAAGTCTCGTTCGCGGTCTGTCACGCCGCGGCAGAAGCGCAGACGGTCTCGTACTCCAAAATCTCGTCGATCTAGTTCCAGGTCATCTAGCCATTCCTCATCCAGGCGCTCACTCTCTAAGTCTAGGCGCCGAGCAAAGGCAAAATCTTCCTCGAATCATCGATCACGTACTAAGAGCCGCTCCCGGCGACGTTCGCTCAGCAAAAGTCGTTCGAGGTCTAGAAATCGTTCTAACTCGAAAGGAAGGAGGAAATCTGAAAGTTCAAGTCACTCAAAGTCACGATCTAAATCCCGAAGTCGAAGTGGATCGCCGAGCGAAGACGAACGTCGTGGCCAATTCACTGTCGCGGACAGGAAACGCTTCTGGAAATTACACAGAGATAGAATAGAGGAGAAAGTAAAAGCAAAAAGTCCCCCTATGGAAATAAAACCACCAGCAGATGCGATAGAGAAGACCAAAGTAGATGATGTTGAGTATGGAGACCCACCTGAAGTGGAAGGTCCAAACTTTGCAGAATTACTTCCTTCACGTGACCAACTATTGCAACAAGGCCCCTCTACGTCCAGAGGTGGCAAAAACATTCCGATAGCGATAAAAAATGACGGCAGTTTCCTAGAGATGTTCAAAAAGATGCAAGAGGAAACTAAAAAGATTGAGGAAGTCGTAAAGAAACCTGAAATCAAAAAGCCTCTACCGTTTATTGGAAAGCGGCGCGGTGGCAGAGTTCTAAAGACTGGAATGGTAAAAAAAGCCAAGGCAATAGATGAACAAACCGCCGATAACACGCCGAAAGACGCGTGGTCGCTCTACATGCAAGAAGTGAAAAAGTACCGTGAAACCTCGTGCGAAGAGGAGCGAAAAACTAGACCTCTCGTCAAATAAAACAACGTTTTAGAGATAGGAATTAGGACTAAGTTTTGTATTGTGTCTGCTAGAATGAATAATTACGTGTTCTTTATTTTACTCTATTATAAATTGTTTATTATTATAATCGTAGCGTTGACTCCCTGTATTTAGTGTTTATTCTGCAGTTTATCCGAATAAATAATTGAGAGCAACGTTTTATTTTTTCTTTAAATAAGTATTTTCTCACACTGGACACGAACGCCACCCCTATCGTTTTTTATTACTCGGTACCACTGTCTGCTTTGTACGTTTATTTACTATTCCGTATCAATTTTTTTTTCTATTTTATTATTTGGTTTAAAGGGCGCCTTGGTCGCATCCGATGTGGGCGAGGCAAAGCCAGATTTGTACACCCAAAATTATGAAGCGTTGTGAGAATTGCAGAAAAACGGGCACATTTCTGCCTAAACTCGCGTATAAATTGCCATCACATGGTGTACATTGTCTTGTGCGGTCACATTTTTGAATAAGTAGGCGAATTAACTTTTCTTAGTAGGTCATCATAGCTATTTATTAGAAAATGTGTCGACCGAACAGCATCCAGCAAACCGGGGACCACGCCACAGACCAGGTTGTATTGTTGTGCCAATGACGGTTTTCCCCCTTGCGTGAAAATATAAATTGTAAAAGTTTGTTGTGCACCCTATTCATGTATTCTGAGACTTTTCATCAAAACGTTCCGTCGTCTTTTCTATGTGTACGAATTCCTTATCGAACTTAACATTTAGATAGTAATCATAAACCACGCATAAAATTGCTAATGTCCCCAAAGTGAGCTCAGTCGTTTCGCGTTGTAAAGTGGTATCCAATAAAGAACCAATTTTTTGTCATGTGCAGCCATTTCATGCAGGACTACATAATATTATAAATTATCGAGAGGCTTTGCACCGAGGATGCACAACGAGCCAAATGCACAGCACGATCATAGAGTCAGTATCACTGTAGTTGTAACAATGATGTAATATCAAGTCATAATAATGTAGCGTCTGTGGTAGCCACCATCCCATCTCCGTGCGCATATTAAATTTTATCGTTGCGATTTTAAACCAACTGTGGTTCTCGCACGAAATATAAACATCCCGCACCCCACTTCGTATTAATTCTTTGAGCTGTGATGGTAATGTTCTTATAAAAATGTCATTCCTTTTTGTATCGGTTGATTTATGATGGCGTTTTGCTTCTATTCCTAAATGATAACACGGCTCATGAGCTGCCGTGTCGTCCGGAATCTCATATTACTAACTCAATTCTTAAAAGAGAACATTTCTCTGTTCACTTACAAAAACGAGTATATTTTTTTGCATGCGAAGTGAAAAAGGTTTTTCATGTGTCCAGCTTTACTCCCAAAGTTAATAATTAATGATCTCATAACCCAATTAATTTCACTATCAACTAGACTAACGTTTTAACCAAAACTGTGTAATTTATCTGTTAAACATTGTTTGCAATCGCACTATAATTGTAGTCGTAGCGTATCCCTCCCATTTACTCCCTGTATTTAGTCTTTATCGAGAAGTTTATTAATGATTAGCGATCTGAGCATAATTGTTTTTTTGCAGCATCATGCCTGACATGATCAAGTCGCCCGCGGATATCAAAACGGCGCCTTATGATCCGCGCTTCCCTAACCAGAATCAGACAAGGTAAAGTAGATAATAATTTTATCTCAAAGGCTGCTAAAGGTGTACATTCTGGTGTCGACACCGTTAAGTTCTTAAACACCATGTTCATAACAATAACATTAGAACTTAGAAGAATAGATGCGTAATATAGAACGTATTTAGGAACATCAATGTATCAATGTCTAATTCCAGTACAGAGTACTAACAAACCGACCTCAAAAGGTCGTGAAATTACTTTTATTTGCAAAGTTTTATTGAAATCAAATTACCACAAAGTGCGCGAAACCGAATTCATCCCCAAGTTTGCCACCCTTAGAGGTGGAATATTTTCTTCAAATAATTTTAATAATACTAATAATTACATGGGACCACTACTGAGGTACCCTCTTTCCAACAAATAAAGAATCATCAAAATCGGTTCACAAATATCCTATAGAGTTATCGCGTAACATACATACAAAAAAAATACAATCGAATTGAGAACCTCCTCCTTTTTTAAAGTCGGTTAAAAATGGACTCTGATGGTCGTATTCTAGAACTCTACTCAATGCTTAAGTCAGGACTTGAGCAGACTTGAGTATGATTTCAAGCACTGGAAATTCGACCCTAATGGCAAGGACTTGAGTATGATTTTCAGTGCTCACTGCAATATTCAAGTCCTGACTTGAGTTTTGAGTAGAGTTCTGGAATGCGACCCTGAGGGTCGTATTCCAGAACTCGAATCAATGCTCAAGCCAGGACTTGAGCAGACTTGAATATGATTTCAAGCACTGGAAATTCGACCCTAATGGCAAGGACTTGAGTATGATTTTCAGTGCTCACTGCAATATTCAAGTCCTGACTTGAGTTTTGAGTAGAGTTCTGGAATGCAACCCTGAGGGTCGTATTCCAGAACTCGAATCAATGCTCAAGTCAGGATTTGAGCAGACTTGAATATGATTTCAAGCACTGGAAATACGACCCTAATTTTAACGACTTGAGTATGATTTTCAGTGCTCACTGCAATACTCAAGTCCTGACTTGAGTATTGAGTAGAGTTCTGGAATACGACCCTAAATATATAATTTTGAACTGACGAAGGGGTTGTTGAACCGCCATTATTTAATATTTTAATCAACCACTAACAGCAAAAAAGCCTTTGTGTAGGTACTCCCCTAGACTTGGCCTAGTTTTAGCAAATTTGTATAGACGTGATTGTTACTACCTATATAATTATACTATCTCGACTGTTTCCAGACATTGTTTCCAAAGCTATCTGGACTTCCACCGTTGCCAGAAAGTCCGCGGCGAGAAATACGAGCCTTGCCAGTATTTCAAGAAAGTTTACACGTCTCTATGCCCGAACGCATGGATTGAAAACTGGGACACACAGCGAGCCGAGGGCACATTCCCAGGCAAAATCTAAATGTTCCAAAGCTTCATAGTGAATAATAATTTATCGTCTTGTATTTTATGTATAGGTCGAATGTGATTTAGCGATTAAATGCCGTATTCGAGTTAACGTGTTGTTTTTCTAAGACGCGTTCCTTTCCAACTTGACCTGCAGTCTTCATCATGATCTGAAAATTCGCAGTTGATCGGAAGAAGCTAAAAAAAGTTAAAGAAGTTACGAAGGAACAAGAATTCTAAATCATTTTCCTTTCATTTGCCGTTACAAATGAACATACAAGGGCGTTGCGGAGACTGCGCGTTGAAAGTGCCTACCGCGAATCCTAGTGCGAAGAACAGCGTCAACTAGACCTTTTGTCACACAAAGCACATAACATTTTCATCATTACGCTACTTAACCCGGTTTTCAGTATCTCGCATTCAATCATTATAAATAAGCCAACTTAAATCGTCACTCTATACAGGTACTCCCACGATTTACCGAAACATATGACCGGGACACTGCCCTTCACATTGCTTCAGAGCTATGTCACTGACCACGCACCACGTAATAACAAACTATGCGGGTTTGAATTCTATCTAGTTTAGATACTTACTCCAAGCATAGCTGTTTCTGTAGCTTGCCGTGTGACCCCGTTTAGTTTTAAGAACGGGACTTTTTTGTCTTAGCTTTTAATTTCAGAATTATTAAGAAGTTTATGAACGAATAATTAATTATTAAGAGTAACGTCGTGTTTGATTGCAGCATCATGCCTGACGTTCTCAAAACGCCCGCAGATCTCAGAACAGCGCCTTATGACCCGCGCTTCCCTAACACGAATCAGACAAGGTAATTTATTTCCCCCTGTACCATCGAATGCAAAATACCTTTTTGGCCGTAAAGTTGTGAGAACTCCTGAAGAACCAAGAATGGATTAATCCTCAACTCCCTATTAAATAAAACACATGACCATTATTAATCTTCACCTAGATGAATAATAGAATGTATAATACAATATTTTATGCCTGATAATACTCCTACCCTCTCCGCCCAGTAATCAATAGTATGCTGTGTGTGTGTAATAGGTTCATATAGGATAGACAGTAATTGGTAATACGTAGTTTGATTAATTACCTACCTTTAGTTCCTGTTTCATTTTCTAAAATATTTATATTGTAGTGAGTGGTACAATCAAGAGCACATTCAGCTTGACTTGTCAGAGTCTGTAAAAACCAATGATCGCATATACCTTATATAAGATCATTGGTAAAAGCCCTAAATTACTAACTTGATTCTGGCAAAATCTCAAAACGTGCACTGCCAATATGCAAAAAAGAAAAAGAAGGAATTTTCTTACGTAAAATGCATCAACAATGTGAATACTACAAATATTATACGAAAGTGAATACTATAGGCATTGACTTACATAGGTACCTAACTGTTTACTTGTTGATGAATTTCACAAATCGAATGGTTCTGCATGGACTTTGTAAAAAGTAAGTAGTTTGTAGACTATATTTTCTTGTGTATAAGCACTTATTTCAAGATTTAAAAAAACGACCTAACACAAATAACATCTTAAACTAAATGTCTTCTGCTAGATGTATAGATTTGCGAAGATCGTCAAAAGTGAGTCTGAGAGTCGTATTCTAGAACTCTATTCAATGCTCAAGTCGGGATTGCACTGGCAACACAAGCACTGGAAATACGACCCTAATATAATAAAAGAAAAGAAGAAAGAAATATGATTTTTCAGTGCCCACTGCAATACTCAAATCCTAACTTGAGCATTGAGTAGAGTTCTAGAATACGACACATAGAGATTGTCGAAATTGGCAATTAATCTGTCATAAAAAACCTAATAATAATGCACCGAGTTACTTTAAAAAAAATTGGTGCTGTACTTGCTCGCTTTAGTGATTAGCGATTACAGATAACATCTTATCTCAAAAACCAATTTAAGTCGTTTATAAGCGCTATCGACAATCTACAAATATATTACAATATATTTTTAAAAACAATCTAAAACATGGATTGACCAGTAAAAGGCGCTTACCCACGCACCACACCAACTGCGTAGGTTGTTATGTTATGTTATACTTCTCATAAAGACAATAAAAATGTAGTTCTTGAAGTATGTGTAGAGCAGTAGAGCTCCTTGTGAAAGAGTTCGCCGCCAAGCCGTAATGTCCGCATTACCGTGTTCCGGTTTTGAAGGGTAAGGGTGCTGGTGAAATTAAACGGCACATGAGACTTGTCAATTTATCTCACGCTGTTTACTGTCTCAGAGTGACGGGAGCAGTGGCATTGCCCCTCAAATCTTTGGGATTTAAAGCTCTGAGTGGCACTGCAACTGTTATGGACAGGAGTGTAGTTAACCATCACGCGCACGACTTGTTTGTCCGTTGATATTATAGAAGTGGTAATGTAAAGTTTTGACCTTAAAAATTCAGTTATTCATTATCTAACGGATTTTTCTCAGAATCTATAATGTTGGAGGAAGAAGCTGAGTAGCTTAGCCACTTCTCAAGAAGCGGCCGTAGGTTCGAATCCAGACTCGCACTTTTGAGTTTCTCAGAATTTATGTTCGAAATTTAATTTGAAATTTATCATGAGTTTTTCGGTGAAGTAAAACATCGTGTTGAAACCGGGTTCACAACCCTCGGAAAGTGTGTAAAGTCCCCAACCCGCATTAGGACAGTGTGGCGGTCTATAGCCAACACTACACCCTCGCCTGAGAGGAAACCCGTGCCCAACAGTGCAACGTATAAATGTTGTTGTTTAATAAAATCTCTTTAAAAATACGTGTTTTCGTATAAAAAGTTATATACTTACTATTGTAAAAAATAAATAAGAGTTATATACTGCCCTCGTAGCAAAAAAAGGCACGACTATGCGTACTTTACACAGCAGTTTCTTCATTTCCTTTTTTTGTTACGAGGGCAGTATATTAGTGTAGGGCAATTAATTTAATACTTGGTGGAAATATTTAAAGTTTTGCCGTAGGGCCGTGTAACCCTTTCGAAATTTCGAGACAATAAGAAGTCAGACCGTGGTAAACAACCTGTAATTAGTAATAATCGTTCAAAATTAACACCTCTAACGTTGACATTCTAAAGCTTTTCCAGATTCTACAAGTATTAATACAAATTTGCAGCTTGGTTGTGTTTTGTATGAACAGTTTTTTTGGTCCATTTATTTGTTCTAGCAAAGTTAAAAGCTGGTTTATCATGGATATAAAAAAGTAAGGTAAAAGAATGAAATTACTTATCAGATAATAAGTCAAATATTATAGAAGTAAATTGTAAGTTATGCGAAAAATACTTATAAAAGATAACTCAATTTGAATTCGTCATGTTAATTTACTATGTGTAAGGTAAGTAAGCAGTTAATATATTGATTGTATTATGTGTTAGGTACAATGACTTTTTTATATTACCGGTAAAGTTAAAAGCTAAATAGAAAGATCTGTGGTAAGTCAGCTGTTGCATTTGTTTATTATCAGATGAAGCTACGGACCAATAACTCAACAAGTGGACTGCTAATCGCGATACAAGACAGTGTAGTCGCTGGTCGGGTATTATTACCTGTTGGTACTCCAGACGTCACGGCTAGTACCAAATAGCTATTTTTGTAAATAACTTGTTTCTAACTAGATTCTGATCTAAAAGTTCTTCTTCAATCCATTCTCAACGTGTCCCGCCATTAACGCGTGAACGCACGCTACCTTCCCCATCAGACGTGGTGGTTTAGGCACCAGGAGTATATCCGCCATAGCTCTTCCGGCCTTTTGTCCTCAATCTACAGCATGGTCAACCTCGTAGGCAGTATCCTAAGGCTTCCGCCAACAAACTGCGAGGTGACGTGGTTAATTGAGTTCAGAAACGCCTGGAACCAGGCTTGCCCCGACGAAAATTTCCGTCCGACCCCAAAATTCAAAGCATCTAGGATATTATACTGTGCAAAAAGACTTTAAATGACTTAATGAATAGTTGCAACCCGAGCACGTCCAGAAGCGGCGTCCAGGTTGGAATCTGGCCACTGGTTACACGCTTTCTCCTCTGCCAGTACCGGTACCTTCCTGAGCGCCGAAACCATTCGCATAGCTGCAGGCCTTCGCCTTGGTGTCCCACTTTGTCCCTCTCATCGGTGTCCTTGAGGCAAAGACGTAAGTCTTTCCTGCCAGCTGAGCGCCAGCCATATCTCCCGGCATGCAGCCCTCAACGACATCATCCGGCGGGCATTAATCATGGTTAACGTGCCCGCTATTCTCGAGCCAAGCGCCACGTCGCGAACAGATGGCAAACGCCCGGACGGAATGACTCTCATCACTTGGAGTATGGGACGTCACATGTGCCGACACACTTGCTCCATCCCATCTCCAGCACACCAGCAAGAGGGCTGGCTCCGCAGCTGAGCTGGCGGAAAGATTAAAAAATAATAAGTACCAGGATCTCGGTTCCGACCACCTATTTACAGCCTTTGGAGTCAAAACCCATGGCCCGTGGGGTCCCAGTGCGCTTTCTCTGTACAAAATTTTATCTAAAAAAATAATAGACTGTCTGGGAATTCCAAGGGCCGGCTACCTTGCCCAACGCATTAGCATAGCCATTCAAAGGGGGAACGCTGCCAGCATCTTGGGCACCTTTCCGCGGGGACCCAATTCTATTCATATATTTTGAAAATCCTACTTTTATTTTCTTTCTAGTATTTAAGCTTTTATTGTACCTTACCTCCATGTTTTTTTTATTAATAAATATTGACTTGTTTCGTATTCATATTGACAAGCTGCAATTTACCTATTAAAGCTACTCTATAATTTCTTGTGATAACAAACAAATCAACTAGATGGCGTTTATTGCACAGATTTTTAAATGCTGCCTATTTTTTTTTATTTTGTATAGGATTAGGGCCATCTACCCATATTAGGGAGCGTTTATTTGTACATTAGTTTGTAACACACAATACCCACAATTGACACGTTCAAAAAATATTTTTTGTCAGTCTGTCAAAGTTAAGAAAATAATTTTAGCTCACGATCAATGATCAAAACCATTTCAGCTGAAAGACGTCCAGCGGATACCCGCAATATAATCAATATTTTTAATAATATTACAAGGAAAAAACTGACTAATTAAAGAGGAATTAATTGATGTCCACGGTCATTGACATAATATAAATTATTTTCAGGCTTTTGATCAGCGCCATCTAGGTATAATATGGCATTTTAGCCTTTTTAGAGTTCTGTAATATGGAGATTAGCAGTTTTTTATTGAGTTAATGGTCCATGACTGAGATGACTCCACAACCTTCAGTTCCGCTCAAAAATGTTGAACAGTAAAATTGAAACCGCACAAAATTCCCTATTTTAATGTTCGACTTCTTTCAGAGCCACGATTAAAAAATTAGAGCAGATTTTGATTCATAATCCGCTAAAATTTAGTATATCAAATCCTTTGTACACTTCCAAGTTTGTAGATGTAAGGGTTTCTTCAAATTAGACACATATAGAAGCACTAGTGACGCGTGAGCCGTGTTGCTACTAATTTCCATACAATATCTGAGGGTGTCCTAATAGGTAATATTCTCTCATCTGTTTCCAGGCATTGCTACCAGAGCTATCTGGACTTCCATCGGTGCCAGAAGGTCCGCGGCGGAAATTACGAAGCTTGCAATTACTTCAAGCGAGTGTACAGGTCGCTCTGCCCCAACGAATGGAGTGGCAGGTGGGACACCCAACGCGCTGAGGGCTGTTTTCCAGGCAGAATCTAAATGTTCCATTACTTTCTAGGTTTAATTTAACCTATAGTCTTTTGTTTTATGCATAGGCATGGAAGTTAAAGAATATATGGCGTGGTAGAATTAATGTTTTGTTTTAATTCAAAATATGATTTATCTTGGTATCAAAGCGGAACGAAGGATCAAAATTGTTAGTCAATCAAAATAACGAAATATGTGGTTTCAGGTTGAACTTTGTAGCTTATAAACTGCTTTGAGCGCTATGTAAATGTTCTAAGGTTAAAGAATTCTGACACTACATTCTGCTCACTAGAGTTCTCCGAGCTAGTAGGTACATACAATACTCGCGAGCGACTTGTAAATCTCTAGATTCTGCCTGTTTAATGCTATTGATCTGTTGTAGTGGTACTAGGCATTGGTATTACGGCCGTTTATTCGTGGTCATACGTCATCAATATTTTTTGCCCGTATTGATTATAAATGAAAAAATGTTAAATATTGAGATTTTCTTTAAAGATTTAAGTTAAGTTACCGGATGTTGAAAGTGACGACATTAACGAAAAAATAAAAATCAATGCCGACGCAATAATCAACGGAATTAATCCATAATTTTAGGGTATGTAATGTCGAACTAATATGGCGGATTATTGAAGAAAAAAAAATTAAAACGAAAAAAATTTAAATTAAATAACTTCGTAACGAATTAATCTATGTCGTTGCCGATAAGTTTAAAATGTTTGTGTTAATTTATGCTTTTAACAAACAACTAAGTCGGTTGGCTGATAATTTTCAATTATCTTAAAATATTCAGGCGTTACTTTGCGGAAGTCCATGTTAATAAAAATCTATCATGTCTATCATGACGAATTAACCCATTTAAAAAAAAAACTCTGAAAGTATACATATTTGTCACACCGGTGTTCTACTCTCGCATTTGTATTAAATAGTTAAAGCTATAGGAATCTGGAAGATAAAGGGCACGTCACAAAATTGAGGTTTATAAAACACTGTGCGACGTCACTATCGAAGTGGGCCGCAGCTGTCCATTGCAATTGAAAATAATTAGACAGTAACCTACAATAAAGACAAAGAAGAAATAAAAACAAATAGATATATTCAAAAAATGCTCCACAAATTCGTCACGTCGGTCCAGGGAACGCGCCCTTCTCCCTTAGCTCGTCCCAATGCTCGATCCAAAAGTTGGGGCAGATAGTCTCGAAGTACCGTTTGAAGATCTTGCAGTCGTCCACGTCGCCGAGCAATCGCACGCATTTGTGGTAGTCGCAGTAGTTGTCGAAACACGCTCTGGGGAATCAAGACAAAATCAGAAAATTAAGTGCCTTAATATCTAGGCTAGTTCGTTCAGTACAGAAAATACTAGGTTGACTGGGATTGATTGAAATGATTTAAAATGTACGGAATGTACACATTGTGAGCTTACCTGTCGGGCGGACTATAGTTTGAACGGCTTGTTATTAAGCGTGTACAGACTCCCTTGTTCATATTAAGAATTGTTTAAAAAAATAATTTGACGAAGTTTGAGGCAAATTAAATGACCTGAACATTGACCTACCAACAAAAAATAACCCACAAACAAAAAAAATTATGTGGGGACGTCTGTAAAAAAAAATGAGTGCAACTAGGAATGGATCCAGGATCTTCTATGTAGTTCACAGCAATTGCAAAAATAAGTAGGTATATATTTTGTAACCCAATTATAAGCCCTCAAGAGTGTGTTAAAATGAAAATGTAACCTTAGAATAATAACGCATAGAAACCTAGTCCGCACACGCTAAGGGTGGCAAATTGAAGCACTCCCAAAGGGCCTACACGAGCGGGCGGGTCGTCAGTGCTCAAGGTCTACTTGCACGCGAACAGATCAAGAATTTTAGCTAAAAATGACGAAATGTGCGTCAGACAAACAAAATAGATACCTACTAACATCACATTCCACAAGGAAGTAACGCGTTTCAACTTGTATTTTTATATAAATATTCACTAAAACCGAAAATTAACCTACTACTAAAACTAGCCTACATGAATTTGATTTTTGCCCCACTTGTGACAGTTCGTTTGATATGAAACTATCATTCTATGCGTTATTATTCTATGGGCCGTATTCTAGAACTCTACTCAATGCTCAAGTCAGGATTTGAGTATGGTTTAAAGCACTCGAAATCATACTCAAGTCCCTGCCATTAGGCACGTATTTCCAGTACTTGTGTTTCCAGTGCAATCCTGACTTGAGTATTGAGTAGAGTTCTAGAATACGATCCTAAGAGTGTAACAATATTTTATGTAGACACATAGAAAGATCTCCTCCATTTAGAAAACCGGCGATGACGTAGCGTGCACATGGCCGATTTGTAGGTAGGTTGCAGATGGGCTGACTAATGACAAGTTTAACTGTCCTAGTTTGTAGCATGGTAAGTTGTAAGTGGCCTAGCTTGAGGACATGTTGCAGACAGCTCAACTTGGGTCACGGTAGGTTGTATATAAGCCATTATTTTTCGCATTTTATTAGCAAACCGTATCTTTACCCATTGGATATGTAACGGTATAATCAGTCTATGTGGATATACAAAGAATTTGTTCAGTGCTTCTAATCTACTGGCATCATGATATTCAACGACGAGCTAGCCCAACCACTAAAAAAAATCAAAACTTACTTTGTTTGGTTTTGAAATGGGTAGCGTGGATCTATGCGCAACGTCCTAAATTCCTGATCACACATTGTGGATGATATAAATTATACGAAAAACTTTCGGATTCAATTCATACGAAAAAGCTTTATGAAACAAAAAGAATTTGGCCTTTCACTCGGTAAAATATTCTAAACTGACATATGTCAACAAACAAAAGAAAAGAGATATAGGACCGTTTAAATAAAGAACCAGCATGAATTAAAATAGGTTTTTATTAAAACACGGAGATTAGTTCACAATGGAAATAGACATAATCATGACATAATCATAAAATTATGTAATTTGGAAATACGAATTATTTCCCTCGTTAATAAAAACTTATTCAAGACCGCATCTATTTTACTTAAAAAAAATACAAATAAATGGAATTCTCGTTATGCATAATTTACAAATTATACAACATCATTAACAAAACAAATACATCAAGTAATAAAAAGGCGCTACCTCGAAAGTAAACCGTAGTAGTTAGAAACCTATTCTCTACTTAGTAGTAGTAAACCTCCTAAGGCCCCGTGCACATCAAATTGTACATTATAATGAAAACATACACAACAATATGATATCGAATTATTAATACAAAGGTTGAACAATAAGCAAATGTTACGGCTGGATTCGAACCAACGTCTTCCAGCAAACCGTGCAGACGCTATGCCAACTAAGCCAAGGACGAACTAGCCATTATGAATTTTTCCATGTGCTTGTTGCAAATCTTTTTTTTTTGCTTTTAAACGTTCTCTCGACTCCAGCCGAATCGACGGAATTTTTTCTTAGTGTTCATACTTTGTATTAATTATTATAACAAAGTAGTGGACAAATTTCACAAAAAATGCAATATGTATCTATTTAAAAAATAAAATAAAAAATATTTAAAAAAAACGCCGGTTGCGTAATTCATATAAAACTGAGGGCATTCTCATTCATTTCAGGGGCCTTACCATGAACTCTTGTTATGATTCTGTTTAAGACCAAAAATGAATCGTTGTGAGACAGCGCTACATTAAGTATATATCACCATCCCATAATAATAACAATAATTCAAAATTAAGCTTTTAGGCCCTCGCGAGAGTCTAAACTAAATAATGATAATAAAATTTAAAAAACATGAAATTGAAACAATTGATACTGATTACTGAATTAAAACAATATTGATAATGCAGTACCTAATTCACCGTCATGCGTATCGCGGCTGGTGCAATCGGGACTTGCTCCGCTTTAGCTATAAAAGCATAAGGCTTTTTTTAAACCGTATCGTGGCGTTGATTTTCAGCAAGTACACTACATTACGTAAATGGCCGTGGATATCAATTAATTCCCCTTTATATAAGAAGTCAAATTTTTTCCTCGTAATATTATTCAAATATTGACCATAAGCCACAATTACTTTCTAAACTTTGACATATATGCGTGTCAATAGATGGCATTGTATGTCACAAACTAATTTATAAATTATACATTCGCTAGTACAGGTAGATGACGCTAATACTAAACAAAATACAATGTGTTGAATTCTATTCTCGCCATATTTAGAAATCACTAAAAGAAATGAATGGAAATAAAATTCGTAAATTCCTGTTTTTTTATTTAATTGCGGTAAACAAATTTGACCCAAAGGTCATTGACTCGCACGGCACTTGCAAACATATTGATCAATATGATCTTAAATGCGCAGAAAAAACGCATCTATTTATTGGTGGTGGGGTGCAGGTAGCGACGGCGGGAAGTGTCGTATCGAGGCTGACATCTCGCATAATTCTATTCTAGTCTGTCACAAAATGCCACGTGGTTTGGTATGTAAACAAGAGTCAGTAGTGCAAAAAAGAACCGCTACAAGTTTCACCAGAACCTGCATGGTAATCCATCAAGTACAAGTGCGTGTCTATTCTTATGGCATGATGTGAAACGTTTAGTTTACGCGGAGGATACGAGTGTCGAAGTTTCTGCTTTCAAAGTTGTGGAGTCTAATGTTGAAACGAAATCACGTGCGAATCTCTGCATGGCTGTGAGCTAGGTACTTCTAGCAATATTTTCATGTAACCTAAAGTTGGTAAATACCAAATCTAAGTTAACAAAAAACTTTTTTCACTAATTTTTTCTAATTAATATAAATAAATTATAACAATATTAGTACATAATAATCATTTAAAAAAATTGGTAAATAAGCGATTGAAAAAGATTACGTATCGCTCATTGAAGTGGGCGGCGGGGTCACTGCCCTTGCGTGGTGCATACGACTTGAGACAATTTTGCAAAACTTTACTAGATACAATTAGCCAGAATATTGAACAGAATAATTGTTTAAATATTTTTAGATAAATTAGCATTATTTCTATTTTTAATTTCATAAATATGGCGAAAATGCAAATCAAGGCACTGTATAATGAAGCCACTTTTTTCAAATTGGAGTAGCGTTGATAAATTGCAGTTTGTCAATGTAAAACAAATTAGTTACAAAAATAGCTATTTGATACTGGTGGTGACATCTGGTGTACCAAAAGGCACTAAATACCTGACTACGTAGGCTTGTATCGCGGTTAGCAGTCCTCTTTGAGTTATCGGTCCGTGCCTAACGTGACCATTATTTTTTTCCGTCAGAGCGGGACGCCTGTACATTGATTAGTTTTAAAAATAACAAACATGTTATGATAATTACGAAATATTTCATGATTAAAAAAAATTTAAAAATAAATCTAAAAATGTTCAATGATTAGATTACAAATTTAAAAAACAAAAAATCTTTCGCTTTCTTTTGTTCAAAAAATCGTTCGTTTGCGCCCTTTTTTTTAGATTTACTGTCACGTGTGCTTTGTCAAAGCGAAGGATTTTTGGGACTGTCCCGCTCAATGCGGGACGTATGGTCACGTTGTTGATGCCTATACATAGCAGCAGAAATTACTGCATTACATATTATTATACTCACAATATACGAAATAATCAAAAGACGTATTGTAATGTAAAGTAAAATTTATTATCGACTTATTTGATAACGTAAATAATAATAATAATAATAACGTGCCAAAGAACCAAACCAAACACTCTCAAACTACGAAACTCCCTGTACTATGTACAATAACAACGCAATTAACTCCGAACACGCAGACCACAACCAGTTTAGAAAAGTTCAAAACTAGTTCTACCGGGAATCGAACTCGGGACATCCAGCGTTCACAGTGCACACTGTTGACCCACCGAGGTCATGGAAATGAGATCAAAAAGTGGTGAATTTCTTGAGGTAACACCTAAAATACCTATCAATATAAAGTTACTTGGTACCAACGTCTTTTAACAACCTCTAGTTCAAATATTTTGTTTATTAGTGTTATATTTATTAAGTAGGTACGACGACTACTACCTATACAACATTATTTAGAAAGGAGGATGAGAAACTGTTTGTCTTAAGATTTTAGGCTAACATGACATGACACCGTCCAATTACATACAATACATGCACCATTCACACTCAAACGATACTGCTTCAGACGTAGATGTAGTCGCAACAAAGTTGGTAAGTAAATAATCGAACACAACTATGGATAATTCACGGAGCGGGAGCTCAACCAATTATAGTCTGTGTTTTTCGAGTAAAATGACATTTGTATATAATGTAAATAAAATATATAAAATGATATTTGTTGCCAGTTTTCATAAAATTTTAAATGAGTTATGTAGTTGTTGTCGATAGTTTTATCGATAGATTGTGAAAGATGATAAAATTTTGCCAAAAATGACCGAATTATGAATGTTACGACGTTCTAATGATTACTGATTGTGTTTTTGTTTTATTTATACTTATTTTGACAGTTAGCTTGCTAGTATCGAGATCAATTTTTATTTATACGTTTTAATGAATAGCCGGATTTGATTATCTATGTTGACTTAAAACAACAAACTTTAAAACATGTTTCTTTTTGTTTGTATTTAACCGACTTGAAAAAAGGAGGAGGTTTTCAAATCGACTGTATGATTTTTTTTGTATGTATGTTACTCGATAACTCCGGTATTTGTAAACCGATTTTCATGATTCTTTTTTTGTTGGAAAGAGGGTACCTCCATAGTGGTTTTGAAGAAAATCATCTACCTCTATGGCTATTAACACACTACACCGCGCCTAAAGATTCATTCACGCATGAAGATTCATTTTAATAAATAGCGCCTAAATTTTATTATAAGGAGCAATTATTTTAATGGTTGATTTTGCTATTATCCAATCCAAGGCGTTTTTCTCTCTCAATATACTTTGAGTAGCGAGAACCGATTTTTATTATCTGTGTCAAGTCCTATCTAGTGGCGAACAAGGGGATATTTCAATAAAACTGGGCAAATAGACGTAATTCCACGTACTTTCGAGGTCGGTTTTTTTAAGTACTCCGCACTGAGAGTATTTTCATAAACATTTCTAAATACATTGTATTTGTACCTATGTATGAATTTACAAAAATCGACAATTCAAATGAACTCGTGCCCAATGATTGGATGAATAATGGGTCGAGGATGATTATAATAAAACAAGCTCGGCCTATTTATTGCATAAGCGTGACCAACATTCAGTCGATAGTCGACAGAATGTTTACTGACGGCAATCACTAGCTGTTCACGAGCGGGCAACACTTTTGCGCAATGAACTATCATTTTACTCCGTCTTCAAAAAAGACAGACTATAGCTAATTTATCGTCGTCTGCTGTCAGTGACTGACGAGAAAGCAAGTAGGGCAACTCCTCTAAGGCCTACCGCTTAACTGAGTCGGTTCCTGAGGTAGCTGCGCGGTGCGGGAGGAGTGACAGTTTACGTAACAGTTATGTCACGCTGTACACGGGATAATTTCAACAAAATTTTTCTGACGATATTCACTGGCGCATGTTTCAATTAGTTAGTCGTTAACACACGACTGTTTTAAAATATTTACGTCCTGTTTTTAACCTACTTCAAAAAAAGAGGGATTCTCAATTCGATTTTTTTTATGTATGTTACGCGATAACTCATAATTTGTAAACCGATTTTGAAGTCCCATTTAAATTTTAAGAAAATATTTCACCTGTAAGGGTGGTAAACTAAGGAATGATTTCGGTTTCACGCACTTCCGGTAACCAATTTCAATAAAACTTGGCAAATACCACGAACTTTTGGGGTCGGTTTCATTTTTTAATTCACTTTTGGTTTTAATTCAGTTCAAGTTTTAAAAATGAATTTAAAACAGGACGTAATTATTTTAAAAGGTCGTGAAAAATTTAAACACTCAGAAAAAAAGTTTTCTACAAAACACCGACGATATATGTACTCTAGCCATTAGTAGGCGTACCAACTTCTTTTACAAGATATAATGGCTGGTTTTTACATGGTATTAAGTGAAATAATTAACTGAATTTTAACTTAATTTATGCTTGTAAACAATCACTTAACAGCTGTTAAGTAATCATCGATGGATAAGTGGATTAGAATCTAATCTATTTTTTGACGAAATAGCCGACTCTCACGCACCCTGCGCGTTCCCCGGTAGGCGTGACTTGAAGTTCGTCAAAGTACTTATATCTATAATAAAACACGTGTAAACATTAGACTACTTAAAATTAAGTTAAAATATGGTTTTACGTCGTCACTTAATGCGTATAAACAAGCCATAACATAAAGGTGCGAATGTATATCAGCTGGTGATCATGATAACGAAAATCTACAGCAGTTTTTTATTAACAGTGAACATTTTGTATGTTGGTCTAAGTGCTCACTCATCATTATCTTCACCACCGCTCTCCCGTACTTCTCATTCAGTTCCGAACTCGACTTTCAAACATTATTACATAGTCAATTCTAAGCTCCAATAAACATCTGTAACAGCTTGAAATTTTTAATGGTAATCTTCTGGTAGTTTTCCCGTGACGTTGACAGTGGCGTATTGCTGCTGCCGATGGAGAATGCCCAAGCATTGAAGAAGGCATTGCATGCTAGCTGCCGAGGTTGCCTGAAAATACGAAATTCGATTGAAGGTATACATAAATGAAAATAGACAATTAAAAAACATAATATTCTGTAAATATAATTCGTCTTTTGTACAAACGGACATCACTTAAAATTTTAACAGCAATTATTATTTACAAAGTGATGTGACGAACAAATCGTGCGCCTGATGGTATGCGACACGCCTGTCCATAACAGTTGCAGTGCCACTCAGAGCTTTACAGTCATAAAGATCTGAGGAGCACTGCCCCTGCACCGGTCACCCTGAGACATAAGTTGACAAGTTCCATGTGCCTGTAGTTTCACCAGCACCCTTACCCTTCCAAACCGGAACGCAGTAATGCTGACATTATTGCTTGATGGCAGAAATAGGTAAGGTGGCACTACCCTGGACGAACTCTTTCACAAGTTCCTCTGCTGCCAAAGTTCGCGCGCTACATAGGTATACAAGGTGTCCGGTAAAGAATTGGTAAGCCTGAAATGCCTTATAGTAGAGCTTATGAACGTTCAAAAGAAATATATAAAGAAAAATATATCCCATGCAGTACTTAAGATTATTTTTTCTTTAAATTTAATTATTTTCACCTTATTTTACGTTTTTGTACACCACGACTACAAGTTAATCAATTCCTTCGGATTTTTGGTGTCATAATATTCTATATTAACTGTGCTAATAGATATGCAGTAAAAAATGACTAACTATGGCACTTAAATTTTAAAAAAGTTTTACTTTATTTTTCAGTGCAAAATTTTTTTTTTTCACAAAGTTTAAGCACCTTCGATATAAAACAAAAATTATGATAACCTGAGTGGCCAACTATTCTAAAATAATGTGTGTTTAAAGTAGATTTTTTCAAAATGGTATAATTCATTATTGTATCTAATATAAATAGAAAATTTATTTGCTATTAACGTGCAAAAGGAGTAAATTTGACTAAAAACTAAGTTTTCAAAATTGGACCATTTTTTGTCCTGAATTGAGCTTGACCATTGGCTGAGTTGAGCGATCATAAGCTCTACTATAAGGCATTTCAGGCTTATCTATTCTTTACCGGACACCCTGTATATTAATATGTATTTATTTGCACGCGTGCAATCACCTGTACGCACTCTAATAATAAGTGCACACCTGTATTTTTATGATACCGATCGGAAGGGTCAATTATAACATTTATTACTTCTAAGTTCTAGTATTTGAATGCAGTATTACTTTAAAAAAAATCACATCTCTAGGAAGCAAATTATCATATCTACAATATTTAAAGTATTTTTCCTCCGTGTTTATAGCAGTCAGGCGCTCGTTATAATTAATTTTGTTAAACTTGTTAGTTAATATAGTAAGCCTTCCGTTAAAGTAATTATTTACATTTTTAAAGGAACACAAAAAATGCAATTTTCATTGAATAAAGAATATGTAAAATGTTAGGAACATAATTTGAGTTGAAAGTTTTTATGGCAAATGCGAGTTATTTTAGATAATTAATAGTAGATTGCACAACCACCTGAGCCGCAGGCGAGTGTGGATACTTAAGTCGAGGGTAAAATGGGTTTACGGCTCACTTTGATTTTCACCTCGATTGCGAAAAATACTTTTTTAAATTATTATTTAATTATATTATTTATTTAATTATATCTTATTTAATTAAAATTGAATGTAAAATTACAACAATTAACATATTTAATGAGATGGTTTTTTTTTATTTTATGTACTAGAAATAAAATTAAATAAATCTTATTTTATGCAGCCTACACACAGCATAAATACGAACTTTTAAGAGCATGAGAAGTGAAAAATATGTTTTCACTTCTCATGCTCAAAAAGTGCACCTTTATGTCGTACGTAGACGACATAAAATCGCATTTTATGCTCTAGTGCATAAAATAAAATCGTCGTTTAAGACCGAGGCAATGACGCCTGCGCCAACAGCCACCCACACTAGAACCTTATAAAATAAAGTTTTACTTTTGTTTTTTTAACCCGTTATATTACAAAATTAAAAAAGTAGACCATATTAATTCTAACAAGTTATAAGAAATAGAAATGCATAAAAAATAAAAGCTTGTAAAATATAACTGAGCATTATGTAGTCCGACCTGAGTCACGTGTAGAAAAAAAAAGTAGTACATTGGCGGAAAGTTCTTAATTTTTCTTGGCAATAGTCGTGTTAACGTTTATATGTAATATTGCTGTTTAATTTCCTCGCAATCGAAGTGAAAAGCAGAGTGTATAACTCGTTCATAAAACTCATTTTACCCTCGACTTAAGTATCCACACTCGCCTGCGGCTCGGGTGGATATACTCGTCTCGGGCAAAATGACGCGTTTTATGCACTTGTTGTACAATCTACTATTTTCACATGATTAGGTAAGTCTCGAACAAAAAATAAAATAATGTGTGAAAATCGTGAAAGTTTAAATCAAAGCACATCAGACTACAAATTTTTGTTCGAAAATCGCCTCCTGTGCAACGGCACAAGATACGTGAATGTGTAGCTTGATGTGTGACTGTACAAGTATGTAGTTTAACACAATTTATAAATTGCTACATGTCTAAATAAATATAAGTATATTATAAAAAACATGTGTACCTTCAAAAGTAGCAAATCAGGATCTGTGTGAGGGAACGGCGAATCCGACGCCTCTATGCACCGCGCCAGTGAAGCATCACTGAAAACAATTATACACATTGCAGCTTTTATAAGTGTTCAGTACATATGAAACAGAACAATCATCATTTAGCCGAAAGACGTCCATTGTCTGATATAAAGCGGCTACACGCGATTTTCGTTAATCGTCTACCTTTACACGCATGCGTGCTTTAAGGTCCGAAACACAAAACTACGATGTCGCATCGCAGAAATCTACGAGCTCGCATGACGCATTGCTAGAATTTGCGAATTACTCCGCATCGGGCTTTCCTGCGATGTTAATCTTCTTTGTGTTTTTTTCCTATACTTTCTTATCAATAACAACAGTGCAACAGCCTTTTTAGGATCCCTGTCGCTACCTTCGCTTAAAAAATACGTTCAGTACGGTTGACGATCGTCTAAGCAATGAACACCCGAACTGTGACAGTGAGACGCTTTGCTGCTCGAAATGGCATCTGTGCAATTCGCGTTGCAGTTTTCGACGTTGCGAATTCGCATTGTGCCGATTCGCAGTCATGTGTTTCGACCCTAAGGAGCGATGCCAACGCGATGCAAACGCGATACACGTTTTAAATTATTGACTTACTTATATAATGTTAATTAATTTAACTTTTAAATTTACAATTAACAAAACAAAATGTGATAATTATTAATACAAAGATCGAACACTCAGAAAAAATTCCTTCGAGCCGATCGGATTCGAACCGACGTCTTCTTGCATACCATGTCAGACGCTATACCAACTAAGCCACGGAACGAACCAACGGACCTCACGAATTTTTCTATGTGCTTGCGTCATGTCTTTGTACTTGGTCTTTCAACGACTTTTTAGTCGTAGCGCCATCTATGAGAAATCTATGACAGATTTATCACCCAGTTAGTACCTTTACAGCTACCAGTCCTGGCGAGAGATGTCGCTATTCACTGTATTAATTAAATTTTTATTGAATTTTTTCTGAGTGTTCGATCTTTGTATTAATAATTATAACAAACTAGTGGAGTAATTTCACAAAAAATAATTGAATATCAATTCAATAAAAATTTTATTAAAACAAAATGTGCTTAAACCTATATAATTTTTCGTACGTAATGATTCAACATAAGCGACTATATCGACGTAGTCGCGCATTTGCACCGATGCAATCGCCTATAAATCTCAAGTTTCACGACCGCGCATTTGCATTGTTGCTACAAGCCGCCGCGTGTAACCTTAGGCCTACCCCAAAGATCGCTACTACGACCGGTCTTGTGCTGCTTGTATCCAGCAATATTCACCAGGTTAATGGTCCACCTTGTGGGTGGTCTGCCCACACTGCGTCTTCCGGTACGCGCACGCCCACTGCTACTAAAGTTTTGCATTTGTTTGGCTTCGTCGGTTACTCTAGTTTTTTCTCACTTCAGATTCGATCCCGCAGTGAAACTCAAAAGCAGTCACATGAAAGAGGTTTTTTTTTTAAATTAAATGTAGGTAAAACCTGATGGAAAGTGACGATGAAGCATGCATACCTAAATAATGCCTATTCACTCTCGCCTTGAACAGGCCCAAGTCATAACGTTCAGGGAACAGGTCTGCAGGCAGGGAATTCCACTCCATAACCGTTCGCTGGCGTTATCTGGCCGATAGGGCATTTTTATGATACCAAGTAAAAGAGCGAACAAGTCGTGCACCTGGTGGTAAGCAACACGTACGCCTGTCCATAGCAGGTACAGTGCCACTCAGAGCTTAAATCGCAAAGATCTGAGTGATACCGCGCCTGTCACCATGAGTCATAACTTGACAAATCTCATGTACCTATAATTTCACCAGCACATTTTCGCTTAAAAAATAAATAGGACTCCACAGTTCATAAGCAGCTCCACTGCTACGATATGGCCTAATCACTATCTGTTTTATCTCTAATTTTTAACTCCCAATGCAAAAAGAGGAGAGTTATAAGCAATAATCGGAATTGAGGACGTTATTCTACCTAAAGTATGAACGTTTCTTTAATATGGACATGATGTACGAGTGACAGAGGGCGGCGTTGATGACAGCAAAAGGACTACAGCAGCGCCGCCCAGACATTGTAAACTATAGTTTTGGATACTATGGAACTTTTGTACATTGGACATCTAAAACGCACTTCCGGTAGACTACCGCGTTTGGACTCATTAAATTGGTCTCACCGAATTGTTGGTTTACGATAGTGTCTTTATTGACATTTTGGAGAACACTGTTTTGTATCGGGGATGTTTTAATTTTAATTAAAGTGTTATTGGCCCCTATGTAAACTTGTAACGTATTGAGAAGGCTAAATTTGCAAACGGTGCAAATCGCAAGTGAACTGTTACTCTGTCCGGCAGACCGTCTCTGCTCTCCGCTGCCACCACACCACCGGCTTCGGCTCGCGCCGGCAGCACACATATGTAGTTGGTACATTTCAATGACTACTTAACGCACAGTAGTAAGACTGAAGTCTCAATTTTACCTTCTGTCGTAATCTTACCTAGTGTTGGGTCATGGAAAAATTTCCATTTTGAAAAATATGAAAAAAGAAATATTTTAACCATTGACTTACAAATAAATGGACGACGGGTCTAATACACAAACCACGAAAAAAATGTCTCAAGTCAACCTATTTAAACGTAGTGACATGTAAAGGAATATGAAAAAGCTAAAACGTTGAATTTAAATTGTAATGTCATCGCAGTACTGTCTAATTTTGCTTGCTTCGCTGTCAGTCGAACAAACGAAGACTAAAACGTGAATGACGCTCTGTATACGATTTTAACGCCCTATAAGTTCGGACACTTTTTAGCGCGGTTCCGACGTCCATATAATTGTAAGTCAATGATTTTAACAAATATTTTTACGGGTATTTATCCAATATTTTTCCCTTAATTTTCAGCATTTGTCGTTGACTCTTGTCAAAAATTGAAGTTACTGAACGAAAAAGATGGAGCCATTAAAATGGTTTCTTTTCGTTGTTGTGAAATCATTTAAAATCGCGTTTTTCTTCAAGTTTCTTTTAGCTTTACAAGTTTATTATATAGTTCACACCAAATAAAACTTCAAAAGATATTTCTAAACTTAGAACATAATATGAGCCTTTAAAATTATATTTTTCCAATTTTCGGGAATTTTTCCGGAAAAATTTCCACTATTTGAAATTTTCCGGAACAGTAATCTTACCTAAGTTCAGTGGCCTGCAATTGCTGCCTAGCTGATGCCATGGCGTCGTGAACTGCTAGCTGTTCTCTGGGCTGCAGAGGAGAGCTTGCTCCCATTGCCTGGAAATCCAACACAAATAACAATAGATAACTCATCAGCATCAACCCAATACGTCCCACTGCTGAGCACGGGTCTCCTCTCATGCGAAGGCGCTGGCTCAATGCTGGTTGGGAACTTCACACATGTTCCGAGGGTTGTGAACCTTCTTCAAAGTGTAGGTTTCATCACGAAGGTTCCCTTCACCGAAAATAGATAAGTAAATAAATTTAAAAAAATCGTTATGAACGGAAAAAGGCATATTTTGTTAATATATTTTTTTAATTGGTAATAAATAATATTTGAAACTGTAGGCACTACAAATTATGTGTTTAGGACCATTGCGATACTTAAAAAAAAATCCTGAACAATTAGTATAGAAGATTTAAGATTACTTTTACTTGTGTATTGCGCTCCGCACTACTTTATGTCGTTTTGACGCATTAAGCCAGAAACGCAAAATGCCAAACGGGCAGAATGTCAGATTCGCAAAATGCCAGATTAGCAAATTGCCATATTTTCAAAATGCCTAATGTCACTTCCAGGAACAGGCCTTCCTCCTCCTGACGCAGGACAAAGGTCTCTGAGTAGGCAGGTTTAAGTTAGCAATAGCTAATTGAAGCTGTAAAGTTGCTTTATGATACAAATATCAGTTATTTAGTAGTTAGAGGAAACTACATTTTGTTTTTAACAAATTAATAATACATGAGAACCTCGCTTCATGATAATTATTATTTCAGCCGAATGACGTCCACTTTACTTGACGACCACTGGATATTAGTTCGTGCGTGAGTAGGAGGAATGCCCGTTCTTGTCAGTAATATTTGGCATTTTGAGAACCTGGCATTCTGCGGATCTGACATTCTGTCCGTTATGTGGGTATGTGTCCCTCAAATATTTGCAATTTAAAGCTCTGAGTGGCACTGCAGCTATTATGGGTAGATGCATCGCTTACCACCAGGTGCAAGAATGAAATTCTAAAATAATTATTCGCCCCCTTACTTGATATAACAAAAAAGTATTTAATCATTTCAAATGTACTTTGACTGTCTATGAATTTCTTTTAATTTATTTAATGCACGAATATGTATTATTTTCCAGTTCATTAGTCGAAGTGGTGTCAACGTTGTTCATTCATATTTATTTATTAATGGTAATTAATGGTAATTGCTATGATAAATTGTTTTTATGGAGCAATTACAATAAAATTAAATGGTACTGTATTACTAGTCATTTTATCTATAATTTTATCATTAATATTATGATTAATCGTATTTGTTTCTCTATCAATGGTCATTCCGTCATATGTTACAGAAAGAAGTGCGCAACAAAATGATGGGCCAAACTTTACAGATAAAAAGAAACTCATTTTTTGTAGAGAAAAAACCAAGACAAAAATTACCAAATTCAATAATAACATTCTTTTTAATAATGCAGTTTATGTACGGTTTTAATTTTGGTTTTATCGACGTACTGAACAAAAAAATACGTAATTTATGCAAAATTATTTCTTTACTCATTTGTTTATGTATTGGTGTAATATTACTCTTGTGCACACCGGTATTCGTAACAGAATGGGACATCAGCACATTTTGGGGTTCCTTGTTTTTCGTCCAGTACTGCGGTCATATTGTCCTTTTATATTTCTCTAAATACAAAGTGCGTAATTTCATAACAGACTTACGTAGCATTGATCATGGTATTATACAGTCTAAAGAACACAAAATAGGGTTGTATGCAAGCATAGCTTTTGGATATCTCGTGATAATGACAATAACAATGTCAACTGTTGAAAACATGCTCACAAATCAACAGCACAATTACATATATGTTATATCCGTAACTGGTTTAGATGCAATGGTCTTAATACTACTGGTAGTAAATTTGTACTCATATTACGCCGTAATATATTTAGTGGGATTGGTAGACAGAGAGAAAGTGGGTTTTATTAAAAAGCAATTCCTTCGTGTTTCTGAATGTTGCGAGAAGTTTCGAGGACACTACGGGAATTTGGTAAGTATTTATGTCACAATTGCTTCTATATGCGAATAAATAATACTAAGAGTTACTATCTATCCAAATAATTCAACAAAACAAGTCA